AAAAAAAGTATATTCGACTTGGAGTGATCGGGTTATATATCACTTTTTTTTAAAACCAACAATGACAAAGAATTCGAAGGGTATATTGTGTTCTTCCTCGTATAGAGAAAGTACTGACTTCAGTACTTACTGGCAAAACCATTTCTGGTAACGCTGTCCAGTAATATTGAAATATTACTTGTATATATAACACCGCCCAACACACCGTGCAGGAAGAGGAATATTATCAACTTTCATTGTGGCAACTTTTTCTTACGATTTTATGAATATACAAACCTTCCGTTCCTGATAAAAATGCTGCTGTTACTAATTTTTTATTATTAGTCATTCACGTTTATTATTTATTCATTCAAAAATTAGTCATTTGTTTATTCATTTGAATATAAAATTGCTTAAAAATGTATTTTAATTATATTTTCTATTTGTCTTTTACAAAAGGATTTCTTCATTTTAATTAGAAAACAATCACCAAATTTTACAAAATTAAAGATAAAAATGAAATAACAGCGGATTTTAGTTGATTAATTAATATAGAAAACGATTTGCTCGTTTGCCCCAGTATTAAATTCTTTACGCTTTTCCTCGATTTACTTCATGAATTTTGCCAAAAAACTTAGACATTGTTGATAACTATTTTAAGATTAACTAGTTCATGCAATTAAACGAACACTATTCATAAAACCTTATACAAAGATTGATTTAAGAAACTGCCGCAATTGTTATATTTAAAAATTTCGACAAAGTTAGTTTAAAATACATTCAAGGAAAAACACGTATACATATATAAATGGGGCATTACATTTGAAACCATTTCACCGACAAAAAACAATCGCAAGGAGACCGATTTTCTAATAAATTTTAATTTAATTTAAACTTGCAACAATTTGCGCGCTAAAGCGCGCGGCTACCTTCTTACTGCCTTTTTAAAATAAAATTAGCAATTTTAAAAATAATAGAATTTGAAAACTTTCTAATTCAAATTTTTGTTGAAAACACTAAAAAAAATTCAATTTTGGAGAAATTATACAAATAATTGCAGAAATTCAACTATTAAAAAAAAAAAAAAAATATATAAAATTCTTCTTATAAAATTCAACTATGTACAAAATTTTAAAAAATTTTGTAAAAATCCCAATTATCTTTATAAGTAACAAAATTCTTCTCCAAAGTTTAATTATTTTCCTAAATGTCAAAAAAATTCTTGTCCTAATATCAATTATTTTGAAAAATAAAATGCATTTTTCTAATTTCAATGATTTTCAATATATACTATATTAATAAAATTTCCCAAAAAAATTCAATTATTTAAAAAAAATTTTAATAAAATTGTATGCAAACATTTAATTATTTTTATAAATAATAAAAATTTCACAGGAATTCAATTATTATTTTTATAAATAATAAATTTTTTTTAAGGAATTCAATTATTTTCATAAAAAATAATTTGAAATTCTTGAAAATAATAATTGAATTAAAATGATGAAAATAATTTTGATGAAGTTACAGTAACAATATTCTTATAATATAAAATAATAATGATTTTATCTCTCGGTCATCTTTAATTATTAGAAAACATAAAGAAATCGATCACTCCGAGTCTTCGACTCGGAGCAATCGACATCTTCATATTTTATAACAAATACTTTTATAAGTTGTTTAATTTAAAAAAGGTTTGAATTTTGAATTTTTGAATGTCTTAATTCCTGTGGAAAATCCTGTTTCAAAAATAAGATTAAAAAAAGTAGGAATTTTGCAAATATTTTTCTTCTTTTTCTAAAACAAAATAATAATTTTTTTAAAAAAAATTGTGGTTCATAGACAAAAATAATGCAAAATAAATTGCATTATTATTAACTTTTTTATAATTTTTCTTTTCAAATATTTTCAATTTTTATATTTATATATTTGAAAATCATCGAATTGTTGCAAAGAATTTTATCAAAAAATTTGATAATAGAATTCCTTTAAAGAATTTTATTATTTAGGTAAATAACTGAATTCTCACAAAGAATTTTATTAAAATTTTTTTAAAATCCTTATTAAATTCTTTTCATAACGCGGTGCTAAAAAGGCCACTTTTTTGCACCTTGTTATGAAAAATATCGTTCGTAACTAGTGCTCGTTCAAAAATTGGCAACAGCTCGCACTCGTTACAAAATATACTATTTGAAGAATTTCTTTGAATTTTTTTTAAACTAATGGAGTTTCTTTAATAATTTTAATTGAAAATTTTGAAAGCATTTGAATTTTATGAAGAAGAATTTTATTAAAAGTGAATTGAAAATAATTGAATTCTTGCGGAGAATTTTACTAATATTTATAAAAATTGTTTCGAAGAACTTATTAAAATTTTTGGACATAATTGAAATTTATGGAAATATTTAAAAATATTTGAATTCATCCGAGGAATTCAATTGAGGCCTTGGATCCAATAACTCGCCCGACGCTCGGAGGCACGCGCTAATACCAGTCGGGTAGCAGTGAGTGGCCCAGAGGCGCTCACTGCTCACTGACTGGCAGTTGCGCGTTCCTCCGAGCGTCGGGCGAGTTATTGGATCCAAGGCCTCAATTAAAATTGTTTTGAAAATCATTGGATTTTTGTAAGGATTTTACTATTGAAAAAAATAATTGAATATTGTTTAGAAAGATTTTACTATTTATAAAAAATAATTAAATTGTTATGAAGAATTTTATAGAAATATTTGAAAATAATGAAATTTTTTCGACAAAATCAATTAAAGTTGTTTCGAAAATAATGGAATTTCTTTAAAGAATTTTATTAAAATTATGTATATTCAAAATCATTGAATTCATCACAAGAATTTTATTAGGGGAGTATAGTCGAGGTTGGACCACTGTCTAGGTAGGCCCAAGAAGACTATATACAGGAGGAACAACTCGAGTATTACCGATGGTCCCGATTTTAACGTATACGACTGGGCGTACTACCCCGAGGCGCACTAGTCTTCTGCACATCCCAACACATGCATAACTGTGTATATTTTATATATATTCCATCTGACAGCTGAAACAGCTGCAAGTTTTTATTATCTCCTCCATATTGAATAATAAGTGTAAATATTAAGTGAACTTAATATTTTTAATACAGAAATTTCTAAAAACAGTGAGAAGTGTATTTAACACAAGTGTTTTTAATTATGATTCGTCTTGATGAAAAGTGTTAATTTAAATAATAAAAGTTGTAATGGGATTTTCATAACCATTTTTTATCTTACAATAAAAAAAGGGCATGTTATATTATAAATTATTATCGCTCTTATTATAATATATAATTTATTATATATTTATTATTGCTGCAATTATATTTATTTCTGTTTATAGCATTGTATTTGAGGTTAACCATAACCTCCAAAAGAGGAATTTTTCCAACTAAACTAACTTAACTTAAATTTTAAAAGGGATTTATAAATTATAAAAACTAATGAAGATGAAATCAAGCACAAATATTTCTGAAGATACAAACTCTACATATTTTCAAAATCAACTGTCACAGAACTTGCACATAACCAAGAAAATTGTAAACAAAACAAACACACATTATCTAAAGATACACAGATAGAGTTTATACAGTTATGCATGTGTTGGGATGTGCAGAAGACTAGTGCGCCTCGGGGTAGTACACCCAGTCGTACGTTAAAATCGGGACCACAGCTCTCTATGAACAAGCAGGCGAGTTGGTTCTCCTGTATATAGTCTTCTTGTTTTGAAGCTAGAAATTTTAAATAGGCTAAAGTGCCGGATTTAAACTGGAAATTAATATTGTTATCTATCACATTGAACTATTGCAAATTTTGGTGTAAATGCAAAATTTTATCAGCATAAAAACCACAAAAAACTTTGCATAAACGATGTATATAAATGTCAAAACATTGTCATAACCTCTTTTTAGTTTTATTCTATTCTATTCCTCGCGTTCCTTGCATTTTACGAGCGATCACGAGTGCTTCCGATTACACTTCGGCTTAGCCATTGCATTTGACATATGTGTGCAGGCTCACCGATGTAGGCAATATATATAGCCAACCACCTAAGCTTAGGACTTTTGGTGGCGAGGGGGCAGACTTTCAAAGGAAAGAGCGATTTGCATTACGTGCGTACTCTCAGTTTCTCTCTAATTGAATATATATATATATCAAATGAATATCATATTAAATGCCATTTGTGCAATATAAATTGTATGTTTAATAAAATGTATGTCAAATAAATTTCAAATTAAATGTTTTTATACCAAATAGATTTTTTGTCAAATGAAATTTATGGTAAATGGTTTATGTCAAATAACTATTATGTCAAATAAGATTTCGGGAATAGTCATGCGTCTCTAAAATGTCCAGGTTAACTTTTCATGTCCTTGGGGTATGAAAAATACGATCATAATCGGATTAAAGAACGTTCTATATCTGACCCAGAGACGTCTTTAAAATTTCTCTAGAATGTCCATAAGACATCCATGGACATATTTTAGACATTTTTAGGGTAAAGTAAGAACATGTTTGTGACATTCTCAGGACACGTTGTGTCAATGTGGCTTTAAAATGTCCTGAAAATATTCATATGGCATATTTGGACGTCTTCAGGCCAGGCATAGAATTTGATTAAGACGCCTTTAAAACATCTTCAGGATATCGTTTTTAAGACATTGTTAACATATCTTTAGAATATTTTTAAGATGGTTTTTTACAATGTCCTAAGAACGTTATGAAAAGGATATCCGAAGGATGTCACACGGATGTCTGTGCCCACTGGGAAGAATTTTACACAGAACACTTAGAACTAGACAAAAATTTTCAAAAAATGTTTAGACAAAATTTTTCCCTCCTCGAATATTTTCAAATGAAACTTCATAATATTTTGTGGTTTAAGTAGTCACTAATAGTACTCTAGTTTATGGAAATGTTAGTTCGATTTGACAACTTTTACTTTTGAGATTGGTATACACTTGAGAAAATTGCCCCATTCATAGATAGAAGATAGATTACCTGGTCGTAGCGAGTATATCATTTTGGAAAAATCGTCCAATTCTGTTCGTCTAAAACGAAAAATTTCTGGTACATTCAAGTACGGTTGAAGGAAAGGCGATAGAATGATTTTTATGAAATCTCTTTCCCTGTTGACTCGAAACAAACCGCCGTCAGAAGAATAATTTCCGGAGTCACATTTCCGGAAACGAATTACGCTGTGTTCCTGAAATTAAATAAACAATTGAGTATAAATGTTAGTATAAAACAATTTGTTCATTTCATGAACATTTTCTATAATTGTATCATAAATTTTAATTATTTTTACTTCAAATTGTTCCGTAAAATTATAAGATTTTTAAAAAACTATTTAAATATATCTATTAAATAATTTTTTTCAATATGGTAAAATGTGATAAGTAAAGACAGCAAAAAGTTTTTTTAAGCTACACTACTGGTTGATAAGATGCCATTATTGGGCCGAGTTTTGAGCACCAGTACTGGCCCAGTAACTTTTGACATTTCTCGTCAGACATATTACTGGATCAATGATGAGCTGCTTTTTTATTCTCGGCATTTCGCAGTTGGGTCTTATTCAGTTTTGACTGTCGGCCAGTTTATACTATGCAATGTAAAAAATGTTTGTTATTTATCACTTCATCAATCATCAAATAAAATATATTAATCTAACAACCCGCTAAAAATAAAAGAAAGCAGCATTCGAGTTTTCATGTGTAAAATGAACAAGATTCTTATTATTCATTCATTCGATTCACAGTTCTGTCAGAAATATTCGTCATATAGATGAGTTCTCCTCCCTTTGCTCTTTTGCCACCCACTATTGCGATTTCCCCTCCTGTGTACCGTGGGTCAACGACCAATAGTTAATGCCTTTCCACCCCCTCCCCTACTCTCATCACGAGTTAGTTTTTAACATCTTGCTCTCTTTCTTTTGTCGGATGGTAATATCAGTTATAAATTGAATTTTTCTCTCTTGACTGTAATGTTGATGCGATATTCCGTCGCTCACAGGCGTATCTGCAGATACGGGCGAATGGCGTGACTGGTTGCGCAGTCTGCACTTTTAGTGACGTAACATGCCGCTTCCATTAACCCGCAACCGAAAATATATAAAATCTGTGTACACGCACATATATTCCATTTATTTGAATTTATATACATACTAGGGGGGCTTCATGTACCAACCTACTATCTCTATTATTATTTGTATTTATTTTAATTTTTATATATTTCAAATCATGTTTTCTTAATATGAATGCATCATAATAAGTTACAAATTTACAATAATGATAAAAGAAAGTATTAAAATAAGGATCTGAAATTTTAAATTGGGTTAGTAGCCAAATTCTTTGAATTTGCCCATATGAAAGGCATTATTGCAGGGTTGCCACGCTTTTGCTCTTTTCAAATTCCCCAGGTGCGAAAAGTTGGTCGGGCCATGGTCGCGCCGACCAAGTGGATAGTCGTGCCGACCTTGGCAACCAAAGGTCGGCCAAACTAGCGAATTGTAACACCCGCCGTCCAGTGGCTGACATGGTCGGGCCGACTATGGCTGCCAAAGTCGGACCGACCAGGGGTGCCAAAGTTTTGCCAACCATGTGAAAGAATGTCGGCTTGACTTTGGCAACCATGGTCGTGCCGACCTTGGCAGCCAAAGGTCGGCCGAACTAGCGAATTGTAACACCCGCCGTCCAGTGGCTGACATGGTCGTGCCGACTATGGTTGCCAAAGTCGGGCCGACCAGGGGTGCCAAAGCTTTGCCGACCATGAGAAAGAAGGTCGGATTCACTTTGGCAACCTTGGTCGTGCCGACCTTGGCAGCCAAAAGTCGGCCGACCGATTGCAAAAAATTATTAATTATTTATTATTATTATTAATTATTATTATTCATTATTTATTTGTTTATTGTATACATCTTAACACTAAACGCAATCTTACACATAAATACAAATTAAAATTTCTAACGCTCGCAGGAATCGAACTCGCAACCTAACGCACCGAAGTCTAACACGCTAACCATTACGCTACGCTTACATGAAAGCCTAAGAACAAAAATGATTTTATAAGCTGCAACTTCAAACTGACCATCGGCCCGACTCTGGCCAAAGTCGGCCCGACCAAGTGAAATTAGGTTTTTTGCACTCTGGCTGCCATAGTTTTACCGACCGTCGGCCCGACTCAGGCCAGAGTCGGCCCGACCAAGTGAAATTAGGTTTTTTGCACTCTGGCTGCCATAGTTTTACCGACCGTCGGCCCGACTCAGGCCAAAGTCGGCCCGACCAACAGAAATTAACCTTTTTAAACTCTGGCTGCCATACTTTAGCCGACCATCGGCCCGACTCAGGCCAGAGTCGGCCCGACCAACTAAAATTAGGTTCTCTAAACTCTGGCTGCCATAGTTTTACCGACCATCGGCCCGACTGAGGCCAGAGTCGGCCCGACCAACTAAAATTAGGTTCTCTAAACTTTGGCACCCATAGTCGGCCCAAACTTGGGTGGAAACAGTAACCAAAGTCGGCCCGACTTTGGCTGCCGACCTATTGGCAGCCATAGATGGGCCGACCTGCGCCCGACCTTCCAACTCTGGCGGCCGACCAAAATTCGCACCTGGGTCCCTGACTTTTCCAGGTTAAAAAACAGAATTTTTCCAGGTTTTTAAAACGAAAATTATTCAAAAACATCAATAACTTCATTTTTAAATAAATATTTCATCATTATTATTTTTTCATAGAAATTAAGATTTTCAAAAATTTTAAATTTAAACTCGGAGTGGTCGGTTTCTACATGTTTTATTGACGTCGAGGTATAATGATGTGCACCGTCGATTATTGTCCGGTACACACCATTAGAACTCGACTGTCGATAAACCGGTTGTACTCAGGAGAGGTTTTCTACAGTTTCCCTCTCCACTGGCGAGAAAACCCATGAGACGGGTGGTCCAGGCAAATGCGAGTACTCCTAATTTTCAAGTCGCTCTGTAGGCGCAAAATTTAGTATTAAGTTTGTTAGGGAAAAATTTGTAAGAGAAATTTACGAAAATGTAAAAACACTTGTATAGCCAAGTATGTAAGGCTGAAGACAGGTGTATAAACCAATAAATAAAAAATGTAGAAACCGACCACTCCGAGTCTTCGACTCTTAGTGATCGCTTTCTTCATGTTTTATAACAATTAAAACTTGCTACTTTGTTACTGTAAATTCTTCAAAAATTATTTTCATCATTTCGATTATTCATTTCTAGAATTTTCAACTAAAATTTCCCTTCAAGTCAATTGTTTTAAAATAATTTCTGAAAAAGTTCTTTCTAAATTTTCAAATCCATTTGTTTACAATTTAATTTTACGAAATTTCGATTATTCCCTAAATTCTTCAATTAAATGCATATTAGAAAATTCATTCTTTAATAAAGTATTACAAAATTCTACGAGAATTACATTATTTAAATACAGAAGTAAATAATTTATTGATTGTTTCTCAAAATTGAATCCTCATAAATAATTTTATCAACAAATTTTTAAATTGAATTCTTTTGTCGAATTTTACTAAAACTTGCATAAAAATAATTTTTTTTTCCAAGGAATTCAATTAAAATTGTATGAAAAATAATTGAAATTCTGCTATGAGTTTTATTATTAGTAAAAATAATTGAATCCTTAAGAAGAATTTTATTACTCTTGAAAATATTTGAATTTTTGCAATAATTTGTAACTTCTCTAAAATTAAATTTTTTTTCTAATGTTTTTAACTAAAATTCATTTTAAAAATCCATTATTTTTAATAATTTTTGAAAAAGTTCTTTGAGAATTTTCAAATTCATTTGTTTACAATTCAATTTTACAAAATTTCAATTATTCGGAAATTCTTTAATTAAATATATATTTAAAAATAAAAACTTGAAATAATTTTTTTTTTTAAATATAATTAAACTTTTTTAAAAGAATTAATTATACAGAATTGTTTGTTAAAAATATTAAAAATTCAGAATTTCAATGATTTTAATTTGAAACCTTTTCAATATTCAATTATTTCTAAAAAAAAATCCACGCTATACTGCTTTCAATATTCAATTATAATCTAATATTTTAACTGAAATGCATTATTTAAATCAATTTTTCTTAGAAAATTGTACGAGAATTCAATTATTTAACTACAAAAATAAATATTTTATTAAATATTTGAATGTTTCTTGAAATTGAATTTTCATAAAGAATTTTATCAACAAATTTTTAAATAATTGAATTCTCTTGACAAATTTTAATAACATTTTTAAGAACAATTTTATTTTTCGAGAAATTTGATGTAAATTATATTAAAAAATTTTGAATTTCGGAGAAAAATTTTATTATTTATGAAGATAATTGAAATTTTGACGATAATTTTTGTAAATTTTTAAAAATAATTGAATTTTTGCGAAGAATTATATTACTTTTGAAAATAATTGAATTGTTAAGACGAATTTGATTAAAATTTCTTTTTAAATAATTAAAATCTTTTGTGAAATTTGATTGAAGTAGTAAACATTGAAAATAATTAATTGAATTTTGACAAATTTTTGAAATTAATGAAATTTTTAAGAAGAATTTTATTAAAATTACATATTTTGAAAGAAATTGAATTGCTACAAAGAATTTTATTAAAATTTTTAAAAATAATTAAATTCTATGAAGAAATTTAATTAAAAATGAGTTTTAAAAATAATACTTAAATTCTAATAAATAAAAAATGTAGCAAAGGTTTTTAAAATAATTGAATTTCTTTGATAAAATGTAATAAAAATTTTTATGAATACCCAATGGGAAATGCCAGTGTAGTGCCGATGTTCACCACTGGCTTAGTACTCAGACGATTGTTCGGCGTATTCTAGCCGAGCCTCGACAATTAGTGCTGGCGCAGTACGGAATTTTTGTTTCGCCAAAGCTTGGACAAGGCTCGGCGGCAAGTGCTGGCTGAGTATAGAAAAATTGTTCACAACGCTCTTTGCCAACATTGCTTTTTTGACATAAACTTGAAAAAAATTATAAAAAAAGTTTATGAATGTTAATAAATATAAATTAAAAGAAATTTTTTTAGTAAAATTAATATTTTACTTTTCAGTCGTTCATTTTTTATTCTTATTAAATTTAATAGTAACAATTTAACACAATTGTCTAATTTTGTAAATAATAAATTATTTAAACAAATTAAAATTATAAAAAAAATTTAAAC